GGTCTGCTTCCAGCCTAAGCTCCTCAATTCTGTTTTATAAGATGTGTCTCTTGTTCAAAGGGCAAACCATTGTTTCATTCCATACTTCAGATGTCTCTGACTTTGCTCTTTTTTGTTTTAGGGACTGCATGAAAATGGGGGAAGTGGATGGTAAAAAGATTGGCTGCACTGTTAGCTTGTTGGTTCGTATAATGATCTTTATCTCTTTTTGCCTCAAGAAATAAATGTTCTATGGTAAACTCTTAAAGACTTGGGTAAGGTTTATTAACCTGTTTCTATGTTCCAAACTGCAGGTTTAATTAATGCCACTGAATTCACATATTACACTAACGATATAAAATATTTATGTTGCCTTAAAATGCACACTGTAGTACTATGCTATGAATACTAGCTACTGTGATATGCTGCATTGCCTAGGGCCTGATTTAGGTTTTGATCTAATTTTGTCTAGGCTGATTTTTTTTCTTGTGCTTTTGCCTAAGTATTCATAGTTTGGCTCTGAGAAACCCCCAAATATCAGTCAATATGGGAATTAATAAAACTTATTAACAGGTGAGTTTCACATGAAATACCAGTGAAACTTTTTCTGTTGTGTGATTAAAACAACACACAACAAAACTCACCTAGATTTCTGCCTCTGGCATTTCCCTTCCTAGCAACGGGGCCTGGTTACTTTTCCATATGAGGATTATCTACTGAGTAGTGGTTGGTCTCCCTCTCTTCTCCTTCACTGCCAGTCCTGTGAGGCCTTTGTCTCATTTTAGAGCTGAGATACAGCACTCCAGTTATGTTCAGAGGATGAATTCTTAGTATGAATACTATTTTCTATTGCTTATTCCCTTTTAGTGAAGTCTGTTGTTATATTAGCCTAAAATTGTTTAAAGGCATTCTGAATTTTTGTGACCTTTAAAATAGTTTCAAGCTTCTCTATGAAATAATGCAGCAGGTGCCAACTTTTATGAGAGAGCTTCCAAACGCTGTATTTTTAGCCAGGGAGTACAAACAATGAGCTTGTAAGGATTTCTTCTATAGGGACACAGTACTATCCAAAGACAAATTCTTGGTCCTAGTTATGGGACAATTTATTACAAGTTCCGCTCCCTTTGTCACATACACAAAGCAAAGCACGCATGAAATACTGTAACAATATTCTAGAATGGGATTTCCCAAAGTTTGGTAAACTGGTACCAGGCTAAGAAATTTTATTTCTCTTTTCTCAAGGATCATAAAACTCCTGATAAATTTTAAAGCTATAGCTGTACCATATAAACAACTAAAGCAATTTTAGAGACAACTTTAATTTAAGTATAAAACCTTTAAAACAGTCATTATTCAGTGTGGATTTTTGTCGGTGATATTTTTATTGGACAAATTGCATGGTTGGGATAGACTTAGACAAACTTTCAAATGCAATGCAATCTTCAGGTCCGTACCAACACAACCATTATTTGGCACCACAGATAAATCTGTCTTGTTCTGAAAAAATATACATCCAAGGTTTAACTGGGGCATTACAAAAACTGAAAGTATTTTCAGTCCATGAGAAGCTAGAATGCTTTGTTTTTAAGAGAAACCTGTCTTATGGAAACAAGAGGGTGGAAATGGCATGAAAATGGATTTGCAGCTAAAGCTGAGTGCTGAGTTCCTGGCTAGAGAAAGTCTTTTGTGAGTCTTGTCACTGGAAAAGCCTGTCATTTTGTTTTACAGCATCAGCAGTACCTTGATGAAGAAGGTTGGTAATCCACTTTTGTCTCCTCTAGGCATCAGTTTATATGCTGATCCTGTTTAAATGACTGTTCCATTCCCTTTGTGATGTCTCAAGCAAGGGGATGTCTACAATTTCCTTTTGTGTGTGTGCAGGCAAACCAGTTTTTAAGTTTCTGATGAATGGTTCTACCCTGTTGCACAGAATATCACTATTTCAACCTGCAAGATCATTCCAGCTTACTTACAAGCCCTAGAGATCCACAAGATAGACTTACCAGCAGTCCAAAATGAATGTCTGAAGAGTGCTAATCATTCACTAAAGCTTGCATTTCTGCTCTTATTCTGAAGAATCAAATTGGCTCTTGCTGTGTGAGAGCCAGTCTCACTTCAGCTTGAAAGAAGAGCTGTTGGTGAAAAAAAATTCCAGTCATCACAAGAGTAGTGTAGAATGCTGTGAATTGATTAGCTCACTTATTAATGAAGCTCACTCTTTTAATATCTTCTCAAAGGATTTGGCATGAGTTTTAAGATCTTTTCTTAGCAGCAAGAGAGTGGAAATAAATTTCTAATTCCTGAAGCATTAGAATGCAAGATTCTGGATTCAAGTGACCTGTCTGCTATTCTTGCACCCTACTGAATTGATGTTCTTAATGTAGACTATAATATACTATTTGCACTGAACATGGAAATATTTTGACTGCTTCCTAAAGCTTCTCAAATACCATTCTCCTAAAGTGCATGCTCTTGCAGCAAGCCTTCTCCAGCAGACCCATCACAGTAATGTTCTCTCTCTCAAACATTATGATGTGTAGCACCAGACAGTTGGATGGTTTTTAGGGGTGGCCACCCTGTGGCTCCGGAGTCCAAACTTCCGAGTCCAAGCTGAGTAATGTGCTTGCTGAGAGTAGTTGTGTCATGTGACATGACAGAATGACTGTGGAAGCTGGTCACTGTTTGCTTGTGCAAAGATTCAAGGAGACGCATATTAGCTTCTGAAGAGCCGCATGTGGCTCCGGAGCCGTGGGTTGGCCACCCCTGGTTTAGCTCATCAGGTTGAATGGCTAAGCAGCTACAGATTTTTTTTCTGTTTGAAAACCTGCTGTCAGGCATCGCCAACCATGTCATTAATGTGGCTCAAAACTGTGTTGTTTGTTACTGATCCTATACATTTTGAAACCATGTCTGAGAGACAAGGAACAGGAAGACTTTCTGCTCCTGTATGTACCGTATGCTGTCATGTCATTTGCAGAGACACCACCCAAACAGCATATGTTCATGTTGATAGTTGTCACTTTGACAAAGGGTTGTTGAATTTTTCCAACTTACACTTTTATCCAGAAAAAAAATCTGCATCGATGATGTCTGATTTCTAAATATTTGACCTTTTTGGAAGGCTTCAGGCTCTTTGTAGCCAGCACTTCTGAATATACCACACATTATGGCTTGGAATCATTAGATGGAAATCCCTAATACATATTTATTATTAAACATGGATATATTGTTTTTAATGAAGAAACCTGTTCTCTGTATCATGAAATGCTCTGTCCTTTGGTCAGAAATGAACTTTATCAAAGAACTGAGGACTTGTACAGATAGTCATGTTAAAATAGCAGAACCTTCCATCCTCAGCAATAAGAACCAATATGTCTGGTATTCCAATTCAGTGCCACATTTCATTGTGATTTACGTGCATGAGTACTTGCACTTTTGCGTTGTATACAATGTTTTTAATGAGTCTGGTGTGGGTTTGCATATGGTAGATTTAGATGCACTTGCAGATACAGATTTAATAGTCTTTTCCATCATGGGCTCTTGAAACCTGCCCTACCACTAGTTGGAGTTCTTGGATTGTTATTCATTCTTTTTGTTGTCCATTAAAAATATCCATTTATTTTTGTAATATCTTACATTTTTGCTGTGACTTCTTACAATTGTTTACCCCCAAACTGCTTTTATAATGCTCCTCATGCCTTTCACACTTTCGTACCTGTAATCTGGAATTGGGGAAACTGTGACATGGAATAAAAATATCCAATTTTCCAAGAGAGGGGGACACAGTCAACTCTAACAGCCCCACAAGTGATACGTGGTTTATATAACATTGAACCAATGTTAACCAGGGTGGTTCCAATGAGGATGAAATTAGGCTGCTTTCAGTGGTGGCAGATGACAGGACAAGAAGGCAATGGTCTTAAGTTGCAGGGAGGGAAGTTTAGGTTAGCTATTAGGAAGAACTTTCTCACTAGGTGGGTAGTAAAACACTGTAACAGGTTATCCAGAGAGGTGGTGGAATCTCCATCCTTGGAGGTTTTTAAGACCTGGCTAGACAAAGCTTTGGCTGGGATGATCTGGTTGGGGATGGTCCTGTTTTGAGCAAGGGGTAGGACTAGATGACCTCCTGAGGTCCCTTCCAACCCTAATTATCTATGCTTCTATAAACAGATTATACTCTTTAACATGGATCATCCTGTAGCATTGATAATATAGGATGCTATAATCTGTCTTGATCCAAGTAGCTTGGTGCCAACATTAAGCATTGCACAGCAATATATATATATGCTTGCCCTGAAACCCCATATAAAAGTGACAACATTTATGGGTTACTGTAGAACACTCCTCTTCTACCTTGCAGTGCCTGGTTTAGTGCTTGTATTAGCCCAACAGAATTAAATGTTGACTATCATAAACTAAAGTGAAAAACTGCACATACTTTACCCGTATACCACAGTGTCAGTCAAAAGAGTCACACATCTAGAGATACCTAAGCAATTCTGAAAACTTGATTCCATGCCTTTGGACATAAGTTGGAAATAGATCTTTGGGTTTTTTCCTCATTTCAGCCATAGTGTTCAGTAGTTGTGCATTAGTTATCAGCTTTATGAACATATCTCAGGGCTGAAGAAATCACATTTTTCATTCAGGGTCATGTTGTTTACAACACTTGAATAGTTCTTTCTAATGTCACTAAAATTCGGGCATTTAGCTGTCACATACTGAAGAGGAAACATCCTTACAATAGATACTTTGTTAAAATGTGCATACTAAAGCCAGAGTACTTTCAGTTTTAAAATCAATATAGAGTTTTCAACAAGGTATTAAATGGCCTTGGTAAAGTATATATGTATTTTTGAATGTCTAAACGATATAATAATTATATTATTAAATTATATAAATCAAATTTATAAAAGGACTTCATATGGGACTTTAGTTCTAATAGATTCTGCTTTTGTACCTTCAAGATTTAAAAAATATTCATCCCTGTTATACACAAAATTTAAGAATCCTATTTATAAGAGGCTATGTACTTTTAATGCTAAATGTAATGCATCTTTACAGCTTGCCTTTGTAAACATGAAACTTTTAAAAAACATGCATAAATTTCTCTAATGTTACATCAGATGCCTACATTGTGTACACACTTTCCAGCTATTTATTTTATTCTCTTTACCAGAAACATTGTTTGATCATCTATATAATTTTATTGCAGAATTTTTATAAGACTGAATTGAATAAAGAAGAGATGTATATTCGGTATATTCATAAGCTTTATGACCTTCATCTGAAAGCACAAAACTTCACAGGTAATTTATTACATGTGACCTAGAAAAAATATATTTAGGATTGGATTGTGACTTACCATTCTTTTTCATAGTCATATTGAGCTCACAGGCTGTAAGAGATGTCCTTTCACCTCTCTGCAGGTCTTAGATTAACCAAGTAGAGTAGATGGGGGTTCTTATTGGCTCATTCTCTCCCTAAGCAGGTGAACAAGGAATAGTGAGGATTTGTCTCTATTTCTCCTACTCACCACCTCTGCTCCTTGCTGGACAGAAGGGTGAATTTTCATGAAGTGGTGCCACATTGGGGAAATAGTAATTTATTGCTCCTGTAGACAAACAATACATTGATTGCTCCTTCCAACCCCAGCAAGCAGCAAGGAAAAATGAAGGGAGGATTTGTGGCTCAGTTGGGTGTCTTTGAGTCACAATGCCTTCTGGTGCTACTGCTGGGTTGATGCTGCCCACAGCCCAGCCCACACTGTGCTAGAAGTCTCAATTTAGCCTGTATTAATTCAGAAGCCTAACTCTGAATTAATTGGAGGAACTTTAGGTTTTGCATTCTTTCTTTTCAACAATTTTATAAGAGTTCAGTGGGCTTATTCAAATCAAATGCATTGCCACCCTGAGTTTGAATTGCAAGGGGCTTGGAAACTTCACGTGTTTATCATGAATGAAAAGGAAATATAGCAAAAATCGTTTTCTCATACAAATTAGCTGTAAAACATAGAGAGAATTTGGATTTTCACTAAGTTGTGTATTATCCACTGTGTTGGGCCCACAGCCCATTGGGGGTGAGGGAGGATGTGGATTCCCTGCCCTGCTGTGCTTCCCCCCGGGGCCTCCACAGGCCAGCAGGCAGGACCTGGCATCAGAGGCTGGAGAGGCTTTTTTTTCTTTCGCTGCAGGTAGCTACAAGCCAACCGTGCCACTATGGCGAGGCACCCTCCCACCCACCCAGAAGCAGTGGGGGCAGTGGTAGTAGTGCAGAGGTACCCCCCACTGCTGCCAGGCGGGCAGAGGAGTGCCTCGCCATGGCATGGCTGGCGCAGGGCTCCCAGCGGTAGCTGCACTGAGCCTTCCCACCCCACTCCATCTTTCAGTATCAGGTCCCACTTGCTGGCCTGCAGAGGCCCCCAAGGGAGGGCTGCAGGGCACGGAGAGACAAGCCTGCAGTGGGCAGCCCACATCTGCCCCCCACCCCACACACAAATCTGGGGGGGTATGTGCTCCTCATGGTCCCTTCCCAGGGAGTGCATGCAGTGGTTGGGAGTCAGCCCCGCCCCTCCCACCCCCCCCGGACAAGCTGCCCATAGCTTCATCCCATTCTCTGGCTGGGTCCCATGACCATGCGCTCCCACCTGGGCCCCAGGCCCCATGCACTGCCCTAGCTGGGCAGCACCCCCAGCCCCAGCCAGCAACCCTGCCCTACTCCCTCCCTCACCATGGGGGCCTGAAGCTGCCCCCACCCCCCATACTTACCTGCCTGCAGGCAGTTGGGGGAGCTGCTCTCCACCATGACCTGGCTGTATTGCTACCCATGTGCATGCGTATACTTGCAGACGCATACACATGCCCCTCCTTCCCCGCAACCCTGACTTCCCACTCCCCCTAGCCCCAAGCAGCCCCTTGGAGCCTGGAACTCTGCCAGCCTGTAAGGAGAAACCTGCTGCTTCCCACATTTTTCTGCAGTGAACGGAAAACCCCGATCCTTGCACATGATACTGGGACAATAATTAACTGTGTCCAGGGGAATCTGGGACAAATGCTGTCCTGGAGTCATTCAGCTCAGGGCCATGACTTGCTCTTTAAATTTTGGGACTGTCCTGCCCCATTAGAGACATGTGGTTACCTTATTCAAGGTGCTGGTTTTGATCAAAAAGGCTCTTAATGGCGTAGGCCCTATGTGTGGAAGAGAACACCTTCTCCCTTATACCACATCACATTCCCTAAGGTCACCCAAGAGCAGCTTCCTGTATGTACCATCAGTGTGTCAAATTCACTAGGCAAAAATATATGGAGGTCATTCTCGGTAATTGCCTGTCAGCTTTGGAACTCCCTTCCCCTTGAGGCCTGCCAAAGCCCAAGCTTGGATATGGATTGGACGCACTAAATGGGTGAGGCTTTAGGAGGGAAGGCCAAGCTGGAGTAGTGTTTAGGAGATTTGCTTTATAGTTTATTTTAATGCTTAAAGGCTTTTATAAGCTATTTTGTTTTTCCTGTTCTTGTTGTTTTTGCTTGTTTTATAAGTTATTTTCCTGTCTTCTGTAAGCTCGCCTGAGCCTTTTCAGGGAAGAGTGGCAAATCAATCTAATAAATGAATAAATAAATACACTACCTACTTCTGTGCCTGTGGCAACAAATTCTGCAAGCTAACTATGCACTGTTTAAAAAAGTAATTCCTGTTGTTTGTTGGGATATCTGGGGCTTAATCCCAGCTGTTACCTATTCAGCTAAAACCTCCAGCTGTTCCCTAAGGAGTTCCACATTTCACTTGTAAGGCTGCAATTATAAAAATTACCACTACATTAAAAAAAATAAAGTAGACTGAGCAAGGCATATGGAATATAAGCTGCACTGGACCTTTTTGTAGATCTCCTAAAACACAGAGCATAGTAGAACAACTTGATTCCATGTATGTGGCCTTTGTCTGCTTAACGTGTTGGTAGACTGGAAAAATGTATTGAGAAGGAGCGGCACTTTAATGACCTCATATGATTTGTGTGTATTGTAGCACATAGCATATGATTTTGCTTATTACTGAACCAATGCATTTGTCAGAGCCATAATTTTTTTGAGACAGAAGCTATACTTCTGATTTTTAATATAACAGATGAGAACAATACTAATAAAACATCTCCATCAGAGTTCTGTGTTTTTCTGTACATTTATTATTATTCAAAATGTATGACTTTTGCATTTTTGGGCATGATAAGTCCCATGGCTCTTACATATTTTGCTCTTATGAGCAGATCTATCTTAGAAAAGAGATTAGATTAAGAAAAAATTAGCTTCCACTTTTAACAAAGACCAGAAGCAGTCCTTACAGTGAAAAACAAGGTCCAAACTAATCTCTTAGGATGCTGACCCCTGTCAAGGACCAGTGGAACTGGAAATAAAGTTCACTCTCTTAGTACTATTCCATTATGGTGCACCTTTATTTCACTAGATAAGAAGTTTCCCTCTTTTTTTTTTTTTAACTCATTTCTTTTATCTGTTTTCACAGTATGATTTTCTGCACTGTTTCAAATTTTAGTAATTCTTTGTGGGGAAAAAGGTCTTTTCTAATCTAATATCCATCTTAAATCTGTCCCCTCACAGCTTCCAGTCATAGCTATACATTTAATCCCCTTATGGCTAAAACATTTATTGTACTATAATGTCCTTTTTACATATCCTTTAAAGACCTGAAAATTGTAATGAGAGAACCTTTCAGTTTTCATTTATCTTAGAAGTGCTTAACTTTTTAACCTTTCCTCATAACTTGAATTTCCAATGCCATGAACCAACATTGTTGCCCTTCTCTTTGTTTTTCATTTTTTTGGATGCATGGGGAATCTCTAAGTGGTGTTGGCAAATTATTAATATATACCATACATTTTATATATATATATATATATATA